CCGGTTCCAAAACCGGGGAGGTCACAGGGAGAAAAGCCCCTCTCCTGCCACCAGAACCACGCCCCCCTCCACATCAAACCATGACATTGCACAATGAGTGTCTTCCCTAACAGCCCCGTTGTCTGAAAACCTTTTGATCCCATCCTGCACATTGTCACTGAGGCTGAACTTCACTATCTTCTGCAATCAAACCAGCCTGGACATCTACCACTGAACTAAAAGTGTCTCAAAGGTTTGTTTCCTAAAGGGGTCAACTGCTGATTTAACAGAAAGTTCCCCTCATAGGACATCTATCTTGGGAAGCTTCCACTTACTTGTTACACCAAACTTCAAGATACCTGCTTGGGTGGACATACTCTAATGAAGTAACCCACCCCTCCCAGCTGACTACCAGTTTTGGCTGTGGCAAAATTAGTAACTCTAAACAATAGCAGCAGTAGGATAATCTGTAGAGCAGCCAAGAAGTGATAGGACGGTACATGTGATGATACTAAAGTATTTTGCTGAAGTATTGACAGCCTCGAATTTGATTGTTAGCTCTTGCAGAGTTTGCTGTATATAATTATTACGTCCCTTGAATTCCATGTGGAAAGAGAATTGAGAGGAAATGCCAATTATTTGTCTTCCGAGTAGGAGGATATGGATCTTTCTTGATCACTAACAAAGAGTGGAAAGTGTACAGAAATAATAGAGCTGAAGCAATAAAAGTAAATTTTACCAATCTGGCCTCCAGGGTACTTTCCACAAGAGCCAAGATAGAAGAATAAACCACCTCACAATTCCTGAGAGAAAGAAGTCTTTGTAGGGTACTGCATCTTCAGTCAGTGGAAAGAAAAATGCTTTCCCTTTTGCTTTGAGCTAATGATACAGGTAGTGTTTCCGTGTCTCCTGGTACCTTAAGGACTTGAACCTACACAGTCTCTTCTGTGTGGTCCTTGTCCTTCACTGCTCTAAGCTTGGTGCCCAGGACCACACTCAGCACAGCTGAAATATAGGCAAGATTTCTGTGCAGTTAAAGTAGCTCAACAAATTCTACCGAACCTGTACAACTTAGAATTTGCAGATGCTTGGCCAGGTTTTGGTCTGGTTAAAGGCACTTTTTGATGGCCTCTGCCAAATTTCAGAAATTTTCACCAAATTCTGTATGCATTAAGGTTTTTTTAATGTGAAAAGTTTAAGGAAAAGGGTTAAAAATCTATAACCTCATTAATTTTCTTATTCTTGCAATTAGCAAAAGTATTTTTGCAAATACGTTAAAATATTTGTTGGGTTGTTTTTTGTTTTTTTTTTTTCCAATTTGAGTCTTTACCTAGACTGATTTTTTTTTTCAAGAGAAAATAAGTGGACTTGCACTAGATACAAGACCTTGTAATTGGGAGTGTCAGGTAATCTTATGTGAAGTACCCCTTAAGAGAACTACTTCCAATATATGAAACAATGAGAACTTAGAAATGCAAAAGAAACAAATATAACATCAAATTACTGAAAAACACTGTTCTACTGTACAGTAAGTTATATCTATGAAAAAGCCATTAACAGCAGAACAGGAAGGATGGCAATTGGAAGGCAGGTGGAGCTAAATAATTTCTTGCCATGAAGTGAAAATGTAAGTGAGTCGTTGTCAAGGACAAGATCTTTGGTGAAAGACAGCAGTGACGAGAAGTGGTACAGAACAAAGAGCAAAAGAGCCTTCGGGGAAGGAAGGGGAAATGGGGGAAATGGAAATTTGGGCCAATGCTAGGAGCATGGCATTCGCTGGCAGGACAGGGAGTGTGTTTTAATGTGCAAGGCAGATGGCCATGGATCTTCAGATGACAGTTCTGGTTTCATGTCAAGGTTCAGGGTGAGGGTGGCCTCTCAGAGTGGTTGCCCAAGGAAAGTGTGGGATCTCCACCACAACATCTCCCAGATGTTCAGGCCAGGGCAGTGCTCTGATCTGGCCCCCAAAGGCTCCTTCCAGCCCAAACCTATCTGTGCACTTTGGAGCCTAGTGAGAAGGTGCGATCATGGAGAAAGTGGCGATCTCCATTTCAGGAGGAGAGAGCTGCGAGGAGTATGTCGGTGGAGACTGAGTTAATGCTGATAAAAGCAGTATGTCAGTGTTGTGAGAGATTGACAGGTATGGGAGCTGTGCAGATTAAATCTGCTGTGTTCATACAAACAAGTCTAATAACAGGCCTTCCAGAGATTTAATTTATAAACATGAGAAAATATGATTTTGTGAAATATGCAACTGATAGTAAATCAGCTTACTTTTTACTTTGGGGGTATAATGTGAGGAAGAGAACAAGAGTCTGTTTCTGTAAGTAATTAAAAACAAAAGAAGAAGCACTGCTGCAGATACTGTATCACTTGTGATTAAGGCAAATATTCTTTGTGTGTAGGTATATGATATGTATTTGTATCCTCCCTAGTGTTTTCTAGCACTTAAAAGTAATCAAAATAGAATTTAGTGAAGAAATTATAGGTATTCCACAGGGCAATTTGAAGAGACAGGGAGCCGACCTTCTCCTAGTTTTACATGTCTCAATTTATGTCTCAATTTTATTTGTCTGTACTCATAGACTTAGAAACAAAAATAGGTTTTGAGACAAAATGAGGCCCTGGCCTCCACGTGAAGAAGATCTGAAGACAAATAACCTCAGCCTGCAGTTAGCCATGCTTCTGTAATGTAATCACAAATGCTTCTCACCTTTGTGGATGAGCTACAGGGAAACCTGAATGAAAAGCTCACACATGGCTTTGAGAGCAAAGCATTGCGTGGCGAGTTTCACCTTAAGGACATTTTGGACAATTGATTAGCATCAGCCAGAGGATACCAGGGAAGCCATCATGCGAGGGAGTATCTCTGACACGTTGATTTTGCTTCTGTCCTGTGCCCCTACAAGCACTGCTTGCCTAAAAAAAAGACCAGGAAAAGTGAATGGTGTGGCCTTACTTCAGGGGGCCCATTTCTCCACAGCCTTCAGTGAAAATGGCAGTGGTTTAGGTCTCCTTCATACCGGTGTCAGCCATCCCCATTCAATAGAGGCTACCTGGGGAATACGTCCTGAAGGGCTTCCCACTGTCACGGCTCGTAGCTCTCTTGGCTTCAGGATCAATGTTCTCCACATCCTGCTGGGAGGTGGCCATCTGCAGCAACTGATTCGCCTCTTCGAGATTGCTCCCTGTCGTAAATATTCTGGCACTTTGTCAAATGTAGTTTTAAATAAGGCACGTTTTGGCTTCACTGAGTCTGGTTTCTCTCCCGTGATCCTGCACTGTTATCTTCTGCAGTCCCATGTGGGTTTTTTTTGTATTATTCTCTGTCTTGTTGTGCTGGTTGTTGTGCGTGACTCTACTCACAGGCAGTAGGTGCTCAAGTGTAGTGTGCCATAGCTACTCTGCCAGCTCCCCACCATGTCCTCCTCTGCCTTCGTTCTTGCGGGGGGAAGGATTACCCATTTTCACTGACTTCACTGTTGCCACGGCTGCCCTAGTTATTTCTACACCTCATGGCTGTGCCTGTAAAAAGTGCTGTTCCCTGATGTATCTCGGGTCAAGTGAAAACCGTGAGTGCTCTAAAATTATGTTATTTTGCATTTAGAATCTTTATTTAAACTTCTCCTGGGACGCACTTTCATACAGGCTTGACATTGGAGAGTGAGTGGATAGTGTCAACAAGTGAAATGGAGAGCCTGGTCATGGTTACAGAGTAGCAGGCATTTCAGATAAGAATAGGAATCTTGCAAAAGTGTCCATTCTTGCTTTTTATTGCTGCTCAGGAAGGTGAATAGGGAAAAAATTGATTGCATTCTAGTCTTCATGGCTTGGTTTTTGTTTCATAGGGTGTGTGGACTTTCTTCTAGGCCATGTTCTCCTTAATTAAGCAGACAGAGTAAATTTGATTGACATTTTGGTATGCTAACATTTTTTTTTAAGATAAAGCCATGACACGTGACCTGCATTTCCAGTTTCTTTTGAATTAGGGAGCAGCAGGAGACAGAAGAGCTTCCTCTCTCATTCACAGGGCAGTCCTAATGCTCTTCCAAGGATGGCTTCCCCAGAGATAGGCCACATTCCACAAGAATGTCTAGGTGTCCCTCTCTCAGGGCAGGCGTCTCTTCTTCCTTCAGAATTGGGGTCAGGGCTGGAGTCTCTTGCTGGGGACTGGGATTATTTCAGTGGGTTGAACTGGTGGCAGCATCTGCAGTGCTGTGGACAGGAGGAGCCTGAGAGGGTGGCCAGCTGTTCTCTTACGGCCAGCTGTAGTAAGGAAGCAGGGGGAAATCGGGTATTTTAATAGTGGGCTAATAGGAATTGACCTCAGATGGCAGTTCAGTCATCTGACACATGATTGCAACAGATGCTGACTCAAAATTAGAGATGCTGAATTAGGGTAAAAGCATTGCAAACCAAACCAAAACCAGAACAAAACAAGGCCCAAAACAATGAACACTCATCAGTTGTCATTTTCAAGCTACAAGGTCAGACTGCCTCTAACCTTTCAGGGCTATCTCTTCATGCGCTACATTTGGGCAATCTTCTTGCTCCAGAATAGCTGTGTGTGTGCTATTTTTATCCCATTTTCTCCCACTCTTTTGTCTACATCCATGGAATTCTTACACAGATCACCAGCCATTTCCCTCAAATTGCCTACCAGTGGTTTTTTTCCCCTGCCTTTACGAGAAACCCAGCCAGAAGCAGAGATGCAGACGGGATAATGCTCGGGTAGCACCGACACGGTGGTCTGATGATGCTGTACCTACAGAGCATCGAGTCCATCAGGTGTCCTTCTGGCAGTGCAGCTCCTGCAGCAGTGACAGGAGGAAGCAGAATAGCCAGAGCCAGCTGGCACATTTGATACTGAAGATGTCAATGTGACAGGATTTAGTAAATGAAAACTCAGGTAACAATCATCAGGAGAGAGATTATTTGACACAGGAGAAAGATTGTCCCCTATGTCAGCTTGCCCTTTAGCTGGATACTTTGGCTCTCTTAGGGGAGAACAGGTAGGAATAAAGGCATA